ATGAAATTGAAAAGAGTATTCAACGGATAAGATTCGATAGAAGAAAGATAAGTTGGGTTATAGTCGTTAGATTCAGATTTAGATGAACTCACTCCTAATAGAATGAGGGAAGGACAGACACACTGCTTTACACGTGTACGGTTGAGATTTGCTACTTGGAGGCAATTCTGTCAGTGGACGGATAATATTTAAACTCGTAAATTTTAAAGAAGACTAAATTCTGTAGTTGAAAATTAAAATATATATTTTTTTTTTAGATAAGGGGGCTTTTAGCGGGTTTAAGGGTAAATACACGTTTGTCTTTGTATGAATCGGATGGGACCCACGATTGTTTGACTAACGTGGATCTTTCTTTTTCAAATATATATATAGTCTCACTGCAAAAATAATTATTGATTATTTCTTTTTTAATTTCATAATTCATCTTTAAATTATTTTTTATAATATGGTTCTCATATAGTAATAATATGCTAAAAAAATCTATTTATTTTTAATATATAAGACAACAAAAAAAATATTTAAAAAAAAAACTTAAAACCTAATTACATCAATTAGAAGGTTAATGATGAAATTAAAAATTAAGTAAAAATGTCAATAACTATTCTTATAATTAAGTTCTATATATACTATATGAATTTTTACTTTGTACTAAAAATTACAATCTAATTTATTTTTAAGATAAGTAATAAATATTTATTATAAGATCGTAAAAAATAATTATTAAATTTGCCCTCTTATTCGAATTTCAATCTTATCAATCTTGTTAGTTGAATGTATAATTCTTATAATTAACTTAGAGCTTAATTACATCAATTAGAAGGTTAATAATGAAATTAAAAATTAAGTAAAAATGTCAATAACTATTCTTATAATTAAGTGTTATATATACTATATGAATTTTTACTTTGTACTAAAAATTACAATCTAATTTATTTTTAAGATAAGTAATAAATATTTATTATAAGATCGTAAAAAATAATTACTAAATTTGCCCTCTTATTCAAATATCAATCTTGTTAGTTGCATGTGTAATTTTTATAATTAACTTAAAATTTAATTACATCAATTAGAAGGTTAATAATGAAATTAAAAATTAAGTAAAGATGTCAATAACTACTCTTATAATTAAGTTCTATATATATTATATGAATTTTTACTTTGTACGAAAAATTACAATCTAATTTATTTTTAAGATAAATAATAAATATTTATTATAAGATCGTAAAAACTAATTACTAAATTTACCCTCTTATTAGAATCTCAATCTTCTCAATCCTGTTAGTTGCATATGTAATTCTTATAATTAACTTAGAACTTAATTACGTCAATTAGAAGGTTAATAATGAAATTAAAAATTAAGTAAAGATGTCAATAACTATTCTTATAATTAAGTTCTATATATACTATATGAATTTTTACTTTGTACGAAAAATTATAATCTAATTTACTTTTAAGATAAATAATAAATATTTATTATAAGATCGTAAAAAATAATTACTAAATTTACCTCCTTATTATAATCTCAATCTTGTCAATCCTATTAGTTGCATATGTAATTCATTTTTTTTAAAGTTCAAAATTTAACCTTTTTTTGAATTAATTAATACAAATATTTTGATAAGTTATATCACTCATTTTGAATTTCTTCTCGTCTCACTCATTTTGGAGTCTCTTTCTCTAAACTCCATTAAAGCTTTCTCACACACCTAAACGAATCTTTTTTTTTTCTTTACATTGCTTGCATTTCGAATTCTTCATTCTTGTCCATGTTAGTATCATCATCTTTTCCTTCGACATGTTTCTCTCTCCTCACTTTCATGGTAAAACCAAATTTTTGTTCGCATGATTAAGATACAATTTTTATGGTGAAAGAGGCGTGCAAAACTATGCACTCATTCTCCGCATTATATATTTGCATAAAATTATTTATTCCTCTATCTCTATAATGTTTGCCACATGCAACTCATGTTGGGTTTTATTGAGTGAATATGTATAAAAAAATTATTTATATTCTTTTTCGTAAAATTAATAGTTACATAACTTGTTGAAAAAAGAAATGCAAGTATACTTACATACGATTGTTGTATTAATGTGCTTTTATAGGCAAAACAACAATGAATGGTCAGGTAAGTATTGTGATGGAATGAATTTTGCACAAGGTGATCCAATAATTATTCTGTTCTAGTCATAGAGAGTTAAATTTTGTCTCATTAAATTGTTTTATTACTGTATTTACTTTTTTTATTATTAAATTATCAACTTTGATTAAAAGTCTAGTTGATTTTTAATAAAGTACAATTGCAATTATCTATAACAAATATGGTAAACTTTAGTAAGAGAAATGATTGGTAGAACGACATAAATGAGATGAAAAAAAACATGGTTAATTTTATTTGAAAAGTATGTTGCATGAATTAAGTAAATTATATCAATTATGCATTGAAAGATAATTGTGAACCTTCATTGCAATGATTTGTGGTAAATTTTTGTATTAATATAGGTGAACTATATTGGATGGAAAAGTAAAATGCAAATTCATCCAAATAAATAGCTAAGTAAACTTTGTTACTTGAATAAGAAAGTTGAATAATTTATTCATGTTGTTAATGCACATTGAATTTGATAGGAATAATTTAGTTTATTTATATGTATATATATATATTATCATTTGTAACTAATCTAGTGAAGTAATTACATATTAGTCTTTTTTTTTCCTCGAATAGATGAGATAAAAAGTAAATTGAAATGGTACTTTTTGACTATGTGTCCCTGTTTCCTTAATAATCTTAATGCAAACCAAAGACATTTCTTGTCGCATGGGTTAGAGAATGTTAAGTTTGGCATGATGCTACAAGTTCAACACCTCATACTTTCTTAATGTCTATGTTTTTAACTATTTTAGTAGTTCAAGCCAGAAAGACATAGAACTAAACTTTTAGAGAATAAACATATATACATATACAATATAGACATCAGTCACATGTTTGGTATTGTTAAAGTTAATAATGAGGTTCAAGTTGGCTAAGTAATTATCTTATTCATATTACAATTTCAAGATTATACTTCTCATTTTTTTACACCATTTTGATGTACTTTTTAATTACTTTGAGGTTGGGCAGCCTTCATAGAGACAGATAAGTATGTTAATGAAACAAAAATTTTAGTTCTTATATTTCTTTTAATTTTTTAGAATTTAATTATTTCTCTACTTTCCATTTGAATTTTTATTGCAGAATTACATATTTTTAAATTCTCTTTTTTAAGGTAAAAATATTTGGTATAAAGTTGATGAATGATTTTAAGTAAGTTTAGACTCTTGTAAATTCTAGTCACGACAAAGAAGATATTCGCATTGATGATAAAGCCTTCATGATACATGAAGTTGCACGAAGTTGGAGTCTTGCTATTCTTAGTTACTTTTGGTCTAATTTTTGTTTATTATGTACTTATTACTTATTAAGTTAAAATTTTGTGTAATGATGATACTCTTATATTTTAGGAAAAAAATGTATTTAGTATTTTGAACTAAGAATTCAATTTATGAATATTATAAATAAACATAAATCTTATAAAATTTACTTATTTTGGTTATGTTTGTAATTTTATTTTTACAGTGATCTTGAACGTATATCTATAATAATTATATTTATAATTTAATTAATAGTAGTTTAACAACAATTTAATAAATAATATAAATATTACAATGATGTATCTTTATTCTAATGTACTTAACATATAATAAGGAGGAGAAAATTCTAATAAAGACTTTTATCCACAAATAAAAAGTTGGTAAAAATTTTGAAAAAAATCTATTAGTACAATTTGATAATCTCTATTAATGATTTCTTTATTATTTGTATATATATTTAAATCTATATCGACAGTTAATTCAACCATTTGCATAAAATTTATAAACTTAACGAAAAATAAAATTGTTGATGGAGTTGTCAGAGAGTTCTATCAGCAAAAAATGATTCTATAGTAATAATTTTGACTATTAATGTATATTATTTTTATGTTAGTATTATAGTATATTTTGTTAGTATGGTATAAAAATAAAGATGTGTTATGCATGTACTTATATATATACATACATACATACATACATATCATCCATCCCTCAAGAAAAAAAGGAGGCATGCTTTGACAATTATTTTTAGAAGGTAGGAGAGATGATGATGTTAAAGATGATGGATCATATATTTTATTTTCATTACTTATAACACTTTTTTCCTTTCTATGAATTTTAGTACACCGCTCCTCCCCGAGGGCTTTTTGACAATTATTTACTTAATTTTTAATTGTTACATTAATGGTTGTATTGCATGTTACATTTTAATATATTGCCATCATGTATCATGACATGTCTATGATCATAAAATGTTATTTTAGTAATAGTTTATTAGTTGTCAAAGATAATTTAGTATCAAATTTTAATGTATTAGTATAATTAGCTTTTAGGGTAGGAAGCAAAAATGTGGGTATTGTATATATATATGTATGTGTGTGTGTGTATATATATATATATATAGAGAGAGAGAGAGAGAGAGAGAGGTTTAATCTAGAGTAGACACGTACCCTTAACTTGTCGGGAGTTGTGGAAGATGGTCACAGGTACGTAAAAGGTATTTGCTTTATTTCCGTATGTATACAAATACGTACAATCATTAATTCTCATGCAAGCATGCGAAAATAATTAATAACTACGTAAGCTCAAATCTAGACACTTATAAATACACATATAATATTATATATATTCAAGTCTTAAAAGAATAAAGAAATTAATAACGTGTTAATTTCCTTTTATGATATATATATATATATTATAAGCCAATGCCTCAACACCTGTTGCTAATTTTGGGACAGTGAATGTTTATGTGTTTGAGAGATACTATTTAAATATATAAGTTATAGAATATGTTCGTATATGTATATATCTAATAATTATGAAATGTTTGAATAGTACAGATTTCATAAATATTATCCATATATTTTAGATTTTATTTTTATGATATTAATTTAGATATAAAGTTAACATCAACAGATTTCATTTAACAAATCTTGAAATTCATAATTGTTATATATATATTATATATATATATATATATATCTATCTACAAAATATAATTAGATTGTCATGATGAAGTGTTTCATAATTAATTTTTATGTTTAGACCGTGATTATTTTTGGTCTCTACAATAGGAACTATAACATCATATACAGATATATATATATATATATATATATATAGATAAGGGTGGTTTCATGTATTAAAACAAATGTATATATATATATGTGGAATATGTGGATGACGAGTATACACATATGCATGTTGGTCATGGCGTGTTGGAGCAGAAATTACTCAACCATGCACGCAACTTGAAACAGGTCTCGTGACTCATCACCATGAAATATATTAATGCATGGAATTTTTTGGTACGTGTCTCTTTCTCTCTCTAACAGTATATATACTGCTAATATATGCATCTTGTCATACATACGATGGATGCATCTTATCTGGAAAGGAAGAAATGCATGACACCTGCCGATATTTTCAGAGTAATAAATTTACGTTCTGTATTGAAATATATATATATATATATATATATATATACATACATACATGGAGAGCTGCTTGTAGAATTTATTAGTAAATTTAACCAGAAATTTTTAAAATAATTTTTATAATTAATTTATATGAAATTTATCTATAAATTTTTTATTTTTTTTAATTATAAGGAATATAAATTTTATAATGAGATCATAAAATTAATTTAGTTCGTACAAAAATTTATTTAAAATTGGACGAATAAGTTCTAACTTTCATTTTCTACCTTAAATTAATTAATTAATTAATTAATCATCACTTTTTTTTATCAAAAATATAGCATACATTCCTATATATATATATATATATGTGTCTCTATAATTGTCTACCTTTTTCTAAAACAAATCTGTGGTATTGAAATCATAATTCGTGAAAACATGTAAAATCCGCATAACCTAAATTGCTAGTATCATATTTAAGATAATTTAATCTGATTATTTCTTTTTATATTTGTTTATTCTTTAATAATTACATCCCTTTATAATGCATATATGTGTGATGATATACGTACGTACCTACCCTTTATAATACATATAATGCATGTATGTGTGATGATATATGTATTTATGTATAAGGTTTGAGAATTAAGCTTCAAACCGTTGTATATACATATATGTATGTATGTATGGATATGTATGTTTGCGTGTAAACATAAAAAAGGGTATAGTAGAAAATGAATGATTGGGAATTGAAGTTACAAGTACGTGTAAATATATAGAGAAGAGAAAAAAGCAAAAGGCTAATGATCATTTGGATGTATGGAGAGAATGGAAAATTACAATCACAAAAGGACTCAACTTGCCAACTCATATACATGAATTATACTGGTGGGTCTACCACCTTTATGCTGTATCCACCCATTTCATATATATATATATATATACATACGCACGCACACACACACACACACACATATATGTATATAAAAGAAAACTAATATTATTTTGTATCAGAATAATTTTAAATTTGACGTAAGGTTTCTTTTAGTTCCTACCCAGGATTGAAGCAATTAAAGGTGATTTTATACATGCATCTGGGTCGTAATTAACCCATAAACTATTCTTCGATTTGACCGCTCAAAAGTTAATTTGCAGAATACTATATATATATATATATATACACATTATATAGTTGATGATGATGGAGCAGAGACAAATTAAGAATGATTTGTTTTTAAATAGATACGAGGAAGAGGAAGGCTCGTGAATCGACTTCACCAAAATCAACACACATCTCAATGGAGCTTTGGCATTAACTATTTACATATATATATATATATGTAAATAGTACGTATGTATGTATGTATGTATCTGAAAATTACTGACTGCACGGCTATGTTATTTTACTGCGACTAATTTAACCTGTTAGAGAAGAAAAGCCAAACACATTTATTCATCAACACTTTGGAAAATTAAAAAAAAAAAAAAACTCATGAATATTAACGTTTTTGGAGTAAGCATCTTCTTGATCTCCATTTTTAATTAACAACCTCTTTTGTAAAATAATGATGGTCCCAC